GGTCTCTTTGCCAACGCAAACACTTTCACGCTGGTAAAATAGGCGCACCGACACCACCATTTGGCTCTCCTCGATCTTCTACGTTGCGGGTGCAACATATCATTGGGCTAGAGGTTGCCATCAAACACCTCTTCCTTTACCACCTGGTCTAAATCAGTGCCACAGCTTTTTGTTTTGTTTATTGCTTAATCTTGAGTTCGTCGTACACGGATGGAGTGTGTTAAGCTGGGTTCGGTGAACTTTTGCCCCTTTCCGAACCCGTCTAGGAGTGAGTGGTGGATATCCATACTCATGTAGATACGTATTTCTTCACGTTTTCACATGAGCTGGATGTAGGCTCTTTCTAAGTTCGCGATTTATTATAAAAGGCTGAGTGGGTACTCTGTCCACACAATTTTAAGCAGTTGTCAAGTGGGGAGAATTATAGGATTTTGAAATATCACAGTGTCAGTTACCTTCCCTGGAAGGTGGCAGGTGCAAGTTCGATGGAGTACCTTCAGCACTTGGATCATTATTGATCCAACTACTTTCATAAGGTTTGGAATTGACTCTATGCTCCGAATGAGGGCTGTTAAACTCTCCCTGATGGTCCACGATTGTTGAGGCATTGTCGAAATTTGCTGTAAGTTCGATTTGGTTACAATGGCTTTTATGTCAGCATCACCTTCCACCACTTTAGTACCACTTCAAGTCTTACCGTCAAGACTACGATCAAGTAAAGTGTCGAGTAACGTATCGCGATTGCTCGTTACTCAGTCACAACCTCGAATTCAAGCTGAGATCTGTTTCTTCCATTGTACATCCATCCCCTATCAATCCAACCCGTCTCCACCCATCCATCCTGTATTCGTCCGGTACTTATTTGTTGATTCCACTTATCCATATTTCAGGTCATTGCCTAAACTACAGTATTTTAATCCACTTTTCCTTCACCCAGATCTCCCATCTAGTGGTTCGTGGCTCATCTGTGGAATTATTACTGAAATTCTCCACCAGGGCGGAATTCCCCACCTTAACCATCGTTTAACTCACCACTTTCATGCTCGTTAGCTAGCCATATCCTCACCTTGCTAAACGAATCGTATTGTTGGTGAACTGGTGCCTATAGCCTTGGTTCGGTTGGATGGTTTAAAAGCTCCCAATGCTTTTCAGTCGTACGGTTAGATCACCAGCAGAATCGGACAAAGTGGTTCTCTTCATTTCGCAAGTGTTATTCCCCACGTTTGTTTGGTTCGCCCCAGTTCTCTCGCTTCTAATTGTGGCCTTGGTCTTGTTTTTGCATGTGTGCGGGCCTTCCTTTCTCTTGGGTTGCTCTCAGGACACACACGGTTATGTACACGCTTCTCTTCGCTTGATTGGTTAAATGACACGCTTTCTCCACCGTTTTGTTTATCATCTTTTCGTGGCCACCCATCTTGTTTACTTTTGCCTTGTCGTTTTCTTTCATCCAGAGCCGACGATGTGAACATGAAGACGATGGCATATGCCAAGGTAAGCTTCTCCTCCCCTTCAGTAGACGCCCCCCCCCCCCCCATTCCTGAGACTAATTTATCAACCGCTGTCTACTTCACCTGTTGCAGCTAGTCAGGGTTCTACCTCCTCTGGAACGACAAATTGATGCACTGCTGGCATTCGATGTGAGTTTTCTTGCCTGGAGGAGACAATCTCTCCGATCAGCTGCCACCACTATCTCACGCACTCCACATTCCCTTGTTCCCTAGGCATCTTCGAGTGAACTCTCCAATGGAGTGGTTTTAGCCGCCTATGTGCTCCTCTACAAGGATCTAATTCGTCTTTATGCGGTCTACAATGAGGCAATGATTAATATTATCGGTAGGTGGGAAGTAAAAAATCTTCACTTGTCTCCGCTTTCTAGAAAAGTTTTTTTCCATGTCGAAGAGGGACTGTCAGGAGTCGTTGCACATCTACAAGGCCTTTCTTAAACGCATGGAACATGTCAATCACTTCATCAAAGTGGCTGAGGTGCGTTTATTCAGTAGCAACTGCTTGACTTTATGCATTCCTAAAGTTCGCAAAGTGTGGATTGTTTTTTTTGTCCCTGTGGAGTGGGTTAGCTTAATGTTGCCACCGATGTAGCGCTCTAGTTACCCCTGAAGCTGTCATGGCAGACATAGTGAGGGCTGTGAGCCTTCAGAGGATTTGATTATCGCCTTACTTTTTTATGCTTTCCAGGCCTGCGAGTTGCTTCAACTGCAGGATGGTTTCGGTAAACAGTCGTTGATTTTCAAGCCAGTGCCAGCCTCCGTGCTGAACGCGTTGGAAGGCCATCTAGCCCATTTGGAAGGCAAAAAATTCAACGACTTGTAGGTTCGCTGTGATTGCTAACTCCACATATGTAGAAGCAAAACTTCTCCCAGTGTCTCATCACCACCAATCACTGCAGCAGTCACAGGCGATTTGGTTCAACTGCAAGACGTGTCGAATCAGCAGAACCTCTCCGCTGAACAGCAGCGCATCATAGAGGAGGAACGACAGCGGCTGGAGGCGTTTGTGAGTGAAGCGCGTGCGAAGTGTCCTAACATGACACCGGAACACGCAAGCTGCGGCATAGACCTTCTACAATTCTCTCTTGATGCTGCCGGTGGCGGTGGTGCTTCCAAGGCTGCGACTTCATACACTTTCTTTGACGACTTCTTTTTTGAACCTGGTTTGTGTTAGCACTCCAAACTGTGCTCGCTCATTGAAGTGAAATTCAGTAGGTGGTATTTTTGACTCCCGTTTTTGTGTTTGTAGTTTTGCCTACATCTAGTAGTCACATGGCTCTTTCTACTGCCACGATGGCCCAACCACGTCCACTGTCTCAATTTCTGTCAGAACCCTCCTCGATTTCTGCAGTCGACAACTCCCATAATCTCTTCCTTCCCTCGAGTTCGGTGGTCTGGCCCACGACAACTACCAGTGGTGGTAACATGTTGGCATTAAAACCACCCACCAGTACTCTCACCACTGCTACAAGCGATTTGGATAGTCACTTGGCTGAAATTGCTAGCCAGTTGGCAGTCTGCAACACAAACACCACGGCTGTGGGTGGTACTGTCAACTGGACGGGCCTTGGTAAGCCACAACAACAACAGCAGCATCAGCAGCAGCAGCAGTTGGCTGGTGTAGGAATGAAACCGATGCCTGCTTCTCCAATGAATCCCTGGGCGACGCCGCGTGGGGTACTACAGCCTACTCCTGTGAACAATCCCTCTTTGACAAATCAGGTTAGTGGAATCTTTTCCAGTCCTGATGGTGTTGCTCGAACCGAGGCAAATTAATTGATGACTTGAATGATGCACCAGCCTTAATGACATTTCCTAGCTAGGGCATTTCTTAGTCGACTTTGGGCAATGATGTTTTTGGTTTTTTGAGGCACAGAGCATCATCATTTGTGACGTAACTTACTCTCCGAAGATGCTAAGCAGTATGTTCCGTCGGAGCTAAATTATTCACCTTTAAATCATCATGCATGAGGCACAGCAAGTCTTCAGGTTTGAATTACCATCCTTTTGTCCACTTTCTCCCCGATTTAATAATAGATCCTTTTTTCCTTGAAGTAATGCATTGCGGCTTTTGCGGTAAGCTAATGCATCACCATTGTATTTTGGTTCACTAAGTAAGGATGCTTTTAAAGGGGCTTTTGGAATCTTGTTGCTCTATTTCCAACTAAATCACATCGACATTTGGCATGGGAAATGTTCTTCCGTTTTTGCGAATCAGTCCTAAGTTGTCTCCTTAATTAGTGTTGGTGTGACTTAGAGTACGTGTTCACACTCACAGACGCATCGAGGAGGGATTATTTTGCCCCTAGGTAGGTGATATGTCCCCACGGGGATGAATTCGTATTCGTGTCAAACACACTCATTCTCCTCACAATGTGCAGTGTACGGGGAACCCTCCTCTATTTCCCGTGGTGCATGTCGCACCTACCTACACCCCGTGGGATGGCAGCTCTGTGGGATATTAACGCATACTGTAAGGTTGGTCTGATAGACAGACAGAACTAGTCGCATGATGCACTCAGACACGACCAATCGCTTCTCCTCTTCCCTCAGCCTTTATCCTTTCCAGTACAACTGTGAATGTGTGGAAATCTCAAGTGTCCCTCGCTTTCAACATTTTTAATTTGACGAGAATTCATTTTTGCTTCTTCAATGCCCATTCCCGTTTTAAGTAGTGTATTATTTGCAATTTTGTTCCTTCCACTCTGATTGGAATCGCAACTCGCGCTTGATTGGCTCCCCTCTTGTGGTTGATGGGATGAGTGACGGTATACATTGCTTTTCAGACGTTCAATTCAATGCCCAGGGCCCCACTTCAAACAATCCAGCGTCATCAAGCCCCGTACGCGTTAACTCAATATCCCGCAGGAGGGATGAACAGCCAGGTTTCGGCGTTTTCACCACGTCCCATCAACGTCCCCCCGAACCAGTCGGCGTTGCAACTGCAGCTGCAACATCCACAGCTACAGCAGTCATTACAATTTCAGAGTGCCACCTCTGCTGCAACTTCTTTCAATTCTCTAAATCCATTTCTTTGAAGACTTCCAACTCTCTCTTTCTCTCCATTGTCCTCTCAACAACATCCTCTGTTTTCGCTCACGAACTAACCCAATCAGCAGCCTCATATCAGCCGATTTATTGGAAACGCAGATTATTGCTTCTTTGTTGATCTCTACCACTCTCATTGATGCCATTCCAATGTCACGCGTTACCGAGATTCGAAGTGTTGTTTATCCTCTGCTCTTACAAGTGCCCCGGGTGTACCTAAAGGACGAATTGTGGCCTCACGCAGGATGATTGGTATGGTCATGTGTCCGTGGAGAACTCGCTTACACAGGCGAGCGAGCATTGAGGTAGTCCAAAAGGTCCACTATTGATGGGCTGTGGGAAGATTTGATGTCGACGAGGTGTCGACAGTGGGAGGCTTTATTATTATGGTGAGAGTGATGAATCTCCGAAACACTGAAGACTATTACTTACATTTGGGTGGCCTGTGCTCTTCTCAGTGTGCGCCTCGTTGATGTGACTCATCCGAGCTGATCGGTTGTCGGTCAGTCGGTGGACTTGAATCCATATAGCGGATATTCTGTTGTGTCATTTGACCTCTGGATGGCCTTAAGTCCATATATGGGTTTTTCTACTGCGTTATTTTGCTTCTCAATCGAATGTTCCTTGTGTTGACTCAAGGCCATGTGAAGGTCAAATGGCGCAATAGAGCCTCCGCTATATGGGATTAAGTCCACCGACTGACTGGCGGACAGAGCAGCGCGGATGGGTCATCCAAATTCATGTCACACCGGCGGCCTGGTCACTCCGAAGGGGTTATGAGCATCGCAGCAGCAGCTGCACAGTTTCCGGGATTGGGTCAAAAACAATCGGGAAAATGCGACGACTCCTACCAGATAAAAAACAGCTTTAGCAAAAATGGTTATTTGGGGGTTTTGGCTGTACAAGGATAGGTGGTAGTATGTGTACTAAATAGGGCGTAAGTTCCCGCATTATCTTACCTGATTTCAGCCTTCGTGGTTGCCATCGTATGATTGTCAAGTTGGTCAAACGTCACTATGACATGTAAGTAGGGTTTTAATTTAATCACACTTGTACACTGCTACAACTCTTGCCATGCCAAAGCCAGCCAAAGATCAACGCTCTCCCATGCGGACAGCAAGGCGACTCCTCGCCTCCTCTGCTTCTAGCGCTTCAGGCACCATCGTCAACTTGAGGCTCATTTCCAAGCCGTGCACACGGGTAGGTATCTACAAACGCCTCCCACCACTACTCGCATTTATTTGACCTTCGAGTGTTCTTCATGCATTTGTGCAAAATGATCGAGTTCTTCCATCCTTCAAAGTGGGAAGATTCACGTGCATTTCTTGCGTAACCAGCTACTGGTCCTATTCTTACCTCCAAAGCCACAGAAACGTCCATCACAATGGGAAGTTAGCTCAACTTTTTGAACCTTGGATAAAGCCTTGGAAATTTAAAAACAGTAGATGAGTCTCTGCGTGGCTGGGAATTTCACCTAAACATCTGAATGACTTATCAACTTGTAAGATGGGGAATTGCTTACTTCTTCGCATTTTTGATGGCAAAGAAAAGGACGTCTCCATCAAAACAGTGCCAATTTGTTGCTTTTCAGGGCCACCGACTTGCCTGGATGAAAGGTAAACATTGAGAGATTACTTCTTCTGTCTGGCCGTGAAGTCCCAGAAAATGGGTGAGTTGACCATGCTCTGCCATAAAATTGCAGCTGACAGGGTTGAAACTCAAAATAGTTCTTGCAGAATTACAGCTTGCCTATTTTATGCTCGGAATTTCTCCTGCCTCAACGGTGCTAGAATTTAGTAAGCAAACATTATGTTCCTTCTTTTTTACGGAAAAAGCTTTCCCATTTTGGTACCAATTATTGTGTTTGTGTGGGCGTTGTGTGACAGATCCGATGGTGTAATAATGTTCTTTGAAAAAATTCATTGAAGATGAGTTAGCCCACAGCGGCCCATCGAGACGCCAATCCTCGATGCCCCCTTACGAAACAGTAATGCTTATCGTACTTGTGGGTGTGCCTTCTTCATCTAGAAGAAGAGAGCCTCAGAGTAGTCGAAGCATAATGACTCGTGTCTTCTGCACTTCCAGGTACCTCGTGTCACAATAAGTGAGGCTGTTTATGAGTTCTTACGTTCCAAGGACATTAGCTGCCACGTCAACGGTGGGCTACTTAGTCAATTTAACTTCACTGGCATTGACGACTGAAGAATCCTCTGCCTTAATTTCTGACTCACAGTATTAAAGCCTTGAAGGTTCCCTACATGGAATTCGATTGGCATGGCGCTACGTCACTAAAGGACTCCATTTCGACTGCAGAGATGTACAGCAGAAGAGGTGGAAACCTATGTCGAATCACCGACTTTGAGTTGTGTCAATCCGTTGATTTGCCAGGGATTCGTACACCGATGTCAAAATGTGGCAAGCCGGCCGAAGAAATTAAACATTCAACTGCCTCGCTACCACACCTGCTTCCACAAGTGGAGTTACTTTTGAGGTGCCTCTGCAAGGATGCTTCAATCACCGCCAGCGATTGAATTGTAAACCATTGGATGTTTAGTGGTGGACTATAATCGTTTGCTTCGAATGGATCACATTTCAGGACTACTAGAGCAGTAGGGAATAACCTCGAGTATTTCCTCCTGTAGTTAATAAAGACACCTCCTAGCGGGATTTCCAAAATTAAATGCACTTTAGTAAACAATACGCAAATTTGTTATTTTTCTTTCAAAATATGCTAAAAATATGCAAAACTAGAGTCGCATTTTCGTTTTTAGGGATGGAATTTTGTCAAAATTTGACATATTGGTAGGCAAGTCCAAGGTACATAGCTATGTAGATAAGTAGGTGAGCGAGTTATTAACGAAGTAAATTCTACCTCGAAAGGTTACTCTGGCATGTGTAGCATGCGTTCTCTTCTCGAAAGCCTCTATACCAACTAACATTGTCCACTGCTCGTCTGTCGACGCCGTCTGAGGTTTTGTTTTGCGGCATGCCTCACGTTGGTAGTAAACACGGGGCCAAGACGGGTCTCATTCAATCTGGCAACAATCAGGCCAACTAGAGTGATGTCCATGCAGCTCTTGTTCTGACTGTGGCACAGCCTGGTTACTAACAAATCTTTAGGCCTGCTCGAGTCTGTGTCACAAAAATAAAATCGCCTTGCTGTCTACAGGATTACGTTTAGCAGAAGGAAAAGTGATGGTAGTGGAAGGGGAGATGTCGTCAAATGTGAATATAGGCAAGGAAATTTGAACAGTGCAATTTACCTCATGTTCAGAACTGGCTTAAGCCGCGGTTCTTCACGCTGCTTTTCCTGCAATAATCGAAGTCGTCCCGAATTTTGTGGAGGGTGTCTCCTCTACCCACCAATGTACTGAAGCCAATGCAGTCATCTTGGCACCGAGGGAAGATGTCAATGTCATTTGTCACGCCCTCTTCGAGGCCGCAGCTACACCCAAGACCAACCTGGATGACTGATGCTTGCTGCTTGTATAAGTCAACCGGCAGAGGGCGAAAAACGTTGTAAGCTACCAATTAAATGAGCGAGTATATTCTTATGATTTAAGATAAAGCTGTGCGTCGAATACAGGAAGTTGATCACAGCGACGAAGAAGGACGCCTTTCCATTACCCCACATCAATGATTCGCTAAACCCCCTACCGAAATTAAACGGATTTCCTACCCTAGATACCGGAGAATGCTGGCTGGTAGTGGTGCAAACAGTGGCCGCCCACAAAGGGGCGCACCAAGGATGGCCCGGTCGCATGTGCGCTTTGGGCGATAAGCGTTCAGTGGATGCAGGTCGCGTGACGAAGTAGTCGTCATCAACCGTCGAGGCAGAAGAGACTTCTGGGCGCGCATTTCCCCAACCTCTGTTGCCTGCTCAATACATAGTACCAACATAAATGCCCTCAACTAGTCAGTCTGTTTATCTCAGGGGAATGGGGGCCGAGGAGGGGGAGGAGGAGGAGGAGGAGGAGGGAGGGGGGGGAGGAGGAGGAGACAAATGCCGAGTTGTTGATATTGGGACGGTGATTGCTTCCAATATAGGCGCAACGTGGGTATTTCGGTCAGCTTCTCATCCACCCACCATTCTACCCCATTTTACCTGTCAGTTGAAAATCACACCATTGGGTGACACACTACCAACTCAATAATAGACCACTCCGTCATATTTTCCCATAGTTTCCACTTCTAAAGGTATAAATGGAAACTTCGCCTCACTTACTTAGTGCAGTGCTTACGATCCACCGCAGGCGCTACAGCAATGCAATCACTGTACACAAGTAAGCAATTCGATGTGGCACCTTTGGTGGCACTCAAATATAATCTGATGGATCCCAAAACCCGCACGTCCGCAGACACTTACGCCAACATCAGCAATCACCATGAGGTAAGCCGATGAAGTAAGCACCTTGCATGCTTGTCGATGGTTATGGAAACACCACATTATCCAACCAGCGTCCAATGAAATAATTCATCAAATGTCTTTGAAAAGCACTAAAGAAAATTAATTTAGATACTGAGGAAATCCTCAAGTCCGTGGTTACGCAGCACCTCCCATCAACCTCTCTACCAACATGCCAACATGAATTCAATCACTTTACAGATTACTTCACCAGTGTAACAAATTAGCCAAAATAATGGTTGAAAGAGGGATAAAATGCGTTCCCCCATGAGGTGGGTGGTATCATTGATGGCACAGCAAATGACTATCAGGAGCAATGCACCAGTGGACTCCAACACAAAATGCATCCATTTAAAGACCACTTTAAATGCCCACTTCTGGTCATTCCATGCACTTCTAAAGGTTGAATCAACATGGGATTACCGAACACTTATAAAAGGCTCAATGTCAGCCTCCACACGAAGCTGACATGGCATCCTCGTTTTCCACTTCCCATTCACGAAGTTTAACAATCACTGCTAAATCAAAATCTAAAGCAGATGGATCAGAAAAAACAAGAGCAGAAGCAGTATTAAGAGGGGAAGATGGTGAGATTGTAAGGAGACGATGAGGAGGAGAAATAGGGAAAGAGGAGGAAATTGAGGAGTTCTGCACAGTGGGTACGGCATTGCGATGTAACAATGGGAAGGAGATCATCACAGACTATTTCTTCCTTCCCGTCACCGACCCGTGGTGCAGGCCTCCAGGCGGTGTAGACCCGACATCAAGCCTGCTCTCTACTGACAAGGACAGGTGAGACATAGCTGGATTAGGATCAGTGCTTCCAAAATCATCCAAATCGCAGTCTTCGGTGGGTCGCATACATGCATTCAAATGATCTTTGCAAAGTCACATAGAAGCAACTTGCCAATTGCCCAACTACTGCTGCACCTAGGTCAACAGAAGACATGCAAATTGGGGCACGGAACCTCACTAGGGAAATGAAGGCTGACTGCGAGAAATGACTACTTCCTACTACCTTCAAATGGAATTGAGGTTAGAGGGCAGCTGCACACTGCTTTCACTTTCTACGATCATTGTGGCCTCTATTCAGGCATTTAAACGGCCTTTTAAGTAGTTTTCCATTCTGACTTGACACCACCTCCAACCCCCTTGCGCCCGCAACTGCATGTGAAGTTCAAATCAAATTTTTTATTGACTGCCTCAGACCATCGATGAAGTAACCAGGCAAGCAGGCGAGAAAGCAATCAATCAGTCAGTCAATCGATATGCCAAGTTGGGCTTGTCATTTAAAGCTTCACTTCCTTCTAGGACACTATGCGAATGCTGATGGCTAGCGATTCAGAGAAAAGTGCGGTACAAGTGTGGAGGCAATTCATGCTGGGCCTCATGATTCTCCACTTCGTGTACGGCCGGTGGAGGCGGGACAGACGTCGGCGACTTGTCGCAAGACGTATAGACTGGCCCCACAACGCAACTGCGTGTGGTAAGGCTCACTTCACGACTCTTTACGTCCTCACACATGAAAGACGGGTTTCTTTCTTCATCACTGCCTCTTATCTAGCCTTTGCAGAACAACCACCTACGGCTACTGGCGGTAAAAAGCCCCCTTCAGTGGTTAGGAATGTGTTTCCTCTATCACCAAGATCGCCACTACCAGGATCGATGGCATCCCTTTCGCCGTTCCTGCTGCCATTGCTTCCTCTTTCTCTGCCGAAGCCAATGTGGAAGTCGACAGCAACGTCCGCGCCTTATCAACCGATATTGAATTGGATAACTCACCCACCGCTATCCATCCCAGCGTTGTTCACTCATGGCAAGTCTCCACTCACAGCTGAAGTCGCACTCTCCTCCCCTATCTGCATTTCGCCAAGTTTAACATTAACCTACCCTTTATTGTTAAATCACAAAGAAACGTCAGCACCAGGACCAGAAGCTGTAGCCGATGAAACAAAAGAAGTGGGAGTTGGGGAGGCATCAGGAGAGGGAGGTGGTGGTGAGGAGGAAGAGAAAATTGAGGAGTTCTTTACCGTGGGAACGGCACTGTGGCATAACAGTCAGGAGGAAACGATTACGGGATTTTACTTCTTTCCCATTACTGATGCGTGGTGCGCGTCCCCTGACAGCACGGACACCACATCCAGCCTGTCCTCCACTGACGAGGGCATGTGCCGTACAGGTGGAGAGGACCCAGCGTTACCGGCGTTACCGGCACCATGCGAGTCGAAGTCGTCGGTAAGTTGCATACAAGCATTTAAACAATCTTTACAATGACCACTTTGCCAATGACCACTTGCTTCCATTTTAGTGGGTCAAGCGTCTACGACGACGTCTAAAGCATCTGTTCTGTTGTTGTTTTTCACCAGCATGTGATTAGATGATTCATTCCCTAATTTATCATATCCATGAATGTCCGCAATTACATTTGACTGTTTGCTGCTATGCTGCGTCTTGTCACTTCTGTGTGCAGTGGGAATGGCGGTGCGTTGGAGAGGTGGCAGGGAGGAGCATTTGGGTGGTTAGATGAAGAGATGAGTGTAGCAGCCAAGCCATCGGACAGATCAACAGGCATGTCCACAAACACTCAGACAGACAGACAGATGGATTGGTGGAGGGATAGATACACAGATACGTAGATAAGTAGATGAACAAGTCATTGACGAAGTAAATTCCACCTCCAAAAGTTATTCCGACACGCGTGGCATGTGCTCTTCTCTCAAGAGCTTCTATACCGCCTAACACTGTCCACTCCTCCCCTGGCGACGCCGTCTGAGCTTTTGCTTCACAGCATGCCTCACCTCAGTAGTAAACACGGGGCCAAGGCATTCAATATCTACTGCTGCCGCGACATCTTCTCCACTCACACAACCACATCTTGACGCACCTTACTAAATGATTTGCAAAACAAAACGATTTATACGACCTCACAACCATCTCAGAGCTGCAAACAGGCAGAGACGGTACTTCCTGTGTATTCAGTTATTCAGACCATTCAATTTGCGCATCGAATGCGGATACTCTGACACCAGAGCGCCCCATTCACTCCCACTGCCATTCAGCCCACTTCTGCTCTGCATTCCTAACAGCACTTTCCCATGTCCTCACCTTCTCCAAGGTCATTCTGCCAACTCCTCTACCACCAGTCATTGGCAAATTCAACTACAGTTAACAACCTTCCAAATTGGAGTGCAAGACGGTACGCCTTTACGTCACAGTAGAAGGATCCGACTGCGATCTATGACAGCAGCATCCAACTTTTTCTCCTTCCGGTACATAACAAGCGCATAACGCCCTTCACCAGTGCAACGACAGTTTTCAAAGCATCAACTACGTTGCAGTGGCCGTTAAAGAAGAGGGGTTATACGAAGCACCAATTGTGAAATATAAAAGCGAAGCAATGTTTACTCGGGCAGCACATTCAACTACGCAGACTCTTCACTCCTCAGTCCCGTCTCTCCTTTTCGCCATCTTGGTGTCATAGCCCCTCCTCTGGTCAGTAACCCTCAAATTCTCCTCCCGCCACTAACAATAAACTTCCTTCTACAGTGATGTAATCAAATAGCTCTTCAAGGTGCAACTACTTTAAAACACGCAGTGCTGAAGGTGGGGAAAAGTAGAAGTGATCACAAGAACATCGGCCAATTAATACTGAAAACAAGTGCTTTTCAACAAATTGTTGACACAAGTTGGATGTTTGTCTTAGCCCACTTCAGCTGTTCAAAGGTGGTAGATGGCAGAGGTAGGAGCAGGTAACAGTAAACAAGAAAGGGACTTCGCATGAAGATAAAAAACACCGAACGAACCAATGATGAAGATACGGCTGTGCTCTGACAGGAGAAAGTGCGCTGAAGACTGTGCATTCGCGAAAATTTCTCCAAAAATTGTGTGAATTCTTCGTGCACACATTCCGCATGGTGGAATCAAACAGTCGCACCAGTTGCCACGCTGATGATCGTTGACAAAGCGACTTTTCGAAATGGTGGACATGAATGAATTCCCACAAGGTGAAAATTCACTTCCTTGTCCAATCTTCGTGTCAGCATTTCCCAGACTGAAAACGGCACACTCTATATATCCACCATCTTCGATTAACGGTTGTGGGATTCATCCTCGTGACCTAGGTTTGGAAAATGACAATTGTGCACTCAAACATTTCTGCAAGAACGGTGGGTACGACACAATTATTCATGATTGCAATTGTAAATTAACCTAGTGCATCCACGCTACGTACCATGTCAGCCTCTTGACATCGACAATGACAAAGAAGCCAAATCTGTACCAAAGTGAGGGAGCACTTGAACAGAGAAAGGCATTACATGCAACGAAACAGGGGAACATAACTTCATTCCTTGCAACGGAAGTATGCAGGCTCATCGTCACCGAAAAAGTCTTCCATTCGATTTCCTCACTCCCCACGCCAGTCATTTGGTCGGCCTAATTCATGCAATCAGTTAACACATTCACCACTCTTCACAATTCAGATGCTGCAATGTTCCAAACAACGATACCCAGTGCCACACATCTTCTCAGCTACTCCCTTTACCACAATCACTCCGCAAATGCAGTTTTTCTGACGCTTAGGCCAAGCAATCAGACTTGGACTTCACACACACACGATGCGCCGACGGTAAAAGTGGTAATGCAAAACTGAGGCCTCTCGTTATTAACATCACGTTGGCTAGTTACATAAAGGGGGATGGAAAACGTATCAAGACTTACGCTGTTGTTCCTCCAGTGCCATGCAGAAAAGAGCGCTCCGCAGGTAGCAAGTGCGTAGGCTTCACTTCAGTTGTACATGCATTCACCAATCGCGTTCATGAATCCAATTTTTTTGCCACATTTTAACTCCGTTACGTGCCACCCCATAGTATACCCTAAAGGTGTAAGAAGTCCAGTTTGCGCTTATCCCATCTTTATGTATCTTCACCTAAGAGAACAAACCCAACTTGTAACCTAGAGAGGCCATGCATAGACAGATAAAGGAAACACACCCACTTCTCCAGCAGAGTGTCATCTTCGGACATATTGAACACCGACTTGACTATCTCGTCACAAACTGTCAACTGCCCGGCCCGCCTGCAATACAAACAATAACTAATACAAATCAAACTTGGAAAGTGGCATAGACGAAGGAGGTCTGCTAGTCATTCGTCTCTGAGTGACAAATTGTGCCAATGGAAAGAGAAACATCGTTGCGCACCTTAAGCTGTCTCAAATAAAGCAGGTCAACCTAGTCATTCTAAAGCACTGAATCATATAGTAAGCTCGACGTGGTTCAATAAGTAACGAGTTGTACCAACAAAAAGCGCCAGTGACATTCAAAATAGTAGAGTAACCCCAATATTTTGTAAATATCACCAAAGAAGCAACAGCAAGCTCTCACATGTAGAAGAACGGAAAACATGCAAACTTTTACAACACGAGTAAGCAGCACAAGTTCCACGTACAAAAGCACTTGTCCAACGACCCCAGACTTGTAGAAAACCCTTTACATATACACTACAAATACGACTCACGTGAAAATACAAATAATGTGCTGCAGATTTGTGCAAAGCAGAAAATCCAGTTCAAGCACGACGAATCCAATTCCATTTGCGCGCTGGATAAGACCTTGATCAAATGCGTTGTGATTAATCAAACAAAGAATTACAACGCTCTGCGACTGCTTATTGCACAGCATGAATTAAAACCATGGATGAACTCGAACGCAAAACGTAACACCAGGGAGATTACTGAGCATTCAAACTAACAGATAAAATTTTTATTTTTATTAGTGGACTTACGAAAAAGAAACGGGTTCAAACATTCTCCTGCCTAATTTAAGCAGCAACTGCCCGATATTTAGAATTTACTTCCGAAATAAACATGGCAAACTGGTAAACTACTGTAGAAGGGCGATAATATGTTTATTTGCCAAAAAACAAGCTAAATCAACAAAATGGAGTATATACTGTAACACAGACACTGAGCGCGGTTAGAATAGGTTTAGTCAATTATCGGCAGTTAAATATTTGCAATGAAATTTTCGGGATCACAGTGCAAAATGATCTGCACACGATTTCCCTTTATTCCAAGTGCATCATTAAGGTTGTGAAATTTTGCAAGTAGTAACTTGCAATGCTTCTGTTCCTGTATGGTAAGAAACTGCGGTATCTGCTGATGCTTCTCAGGATAATACTGCTTTAACCACACATTGCACACATGCGCTTTGAATCATGTGCATTCTGGTAACCATGTGGACACTTACTCGCTCTCATTAAGTGGTATTCATTTTCACCCTTCCTTGTTTCGGCGGCAACGACAAGATGCTTGTTCCACTCCTTTGGTATCGATGATATAAAAGTGGCCCAAATTTGCTGATAAAGAAAAACAACTACTCCAGCAACAGCAACTGTGAATTAGGGAGTATAGAGAAGCGATGTCAACAGTGATAAAGTGGGTGTCAAATCGAAATTTCTCAGATCTTTTGTAACAGGAACAGGCAATTAGCGATATTTTCAAGTAATAGAGGGTCTC